CTATCTAGAGTCAGTGTTTGGTCTGTCCAGTCTGGGCTACTGTAGAAAGGCCTCTGTAGATAAAAATGACCCTGGTTCTTTAAGTTTAAAGGGTCAGTTCATCCAATCTGCTCAAAAACACATTTTCCTGACTGTGTAAATAGATTCAAGTTTAATTTAAAATGTATTTATTGACAGGATACATGTCGATGAGACTTATTAATGAGTAATTATAGCTACAAAAGCCAGATACAGTGGAGGTGGATGGAGTTACACATATAGGACTGACAACTGTTCTATTTCTCTTTCCAAAAACTGATTTATTTGCAGATTTTTTTTGTTTTCTGATAGTTTTCAGACTTAATAGTGGAAAAATGTGTCTCTATTCATGCACAGATTTCACGTTGATGCATCTTCTCATTTTCTGATATTCATCTTTAAATAGAGAAACGCACCTCGTATTGGTCTCCGGGGCAGAGTCGAGCAAAGCCGATCAGACCTGCAAGTAGAAACACATGTTCAATAGTTGGAAGATAGCTTGTCACTGATAACCTTTAAACTGCTCTGGGACTCTCCGAGTGTGTGCGTGTACCTTTCATTTTGATTTGTAGCTCTCCGAGGAGGATTTCTAGCTCTCCTTCCATAACTGACATGTCCTGCAGAGAGGAGAAATTGGGTAAGAGTGGAATTTTAGAAAAAGTAAATAAATCTCCAGCGGGGTGCCTTTGGCGGGTCTTATTTTTGTTAACAGATCACTTTTGCTGTAACACTTTTCACATATTGTCTATCCAAAGTGAGGTCAAACGTTGGGTCATCCACAGAACGTTGACATTGGATTCACAGTTCTGTTTTAGTGCAGCAGATATTTGGTAACAAATTTCTTTGGCTTTTTACCACCTCACTGGCTTCTTGTGAGGGGAAAAAGACACCTACTAATACTTTCCCTCCATTAAATCTGAGCATATTCAAACCCAAATGACAGAGAGGGGAAACTATTCATGTAATGTGTCATCTGTAAACATACATTTAGTTTTAATGAACATAGTGTTGATGCATTTACCACCTGCTTGACTCTATTAGAATATTAATGGGCATATTTAGGTGTTACAACCACTTCAAGAGTCATAAATTGGCCACTTGGTTTTCAGTTTTGGCCTTAAACATGAGTTTAGTCTCTATTATGGTGATAATATACATACAGTATGTGCAGCCTCTCCTTCCACCTTAAAGCCTCTTCACTCTGTATCATAGTACACTGCTTTATCACAGGTGATAAGTTGGTTCTAAAATGGTCATCTTTAGCCAACAGGGGGGAGCTGCAGTTTAAATTATGTATCTATAAAACTCAACTGCCAGATTATCTCTTTCTGATCACATCTAATTATAATGTCAGGTCACATTTGAACTCTATACAAAAAGAACTTGGAAAAAGTTTTAAATACTGAGCTCCTTGGAAATGGCATGAGTTAAAAAGAGAGTTTGAATGCAGCTTTTAATTCTTTCTGTGTAACAACCGTTCTGTGTATGCAAATTGTGTGTTTGTTGTGGTTTTCTGTGCCTTTGTCCTCGCTCACGCTCTATATAAAGTTCTCATGTGCTCCCTTGAAAAGGAGATTTGATGTCAGTGAGATGATTTGTTTAAATAAAGGACAAACAGAGGTTCAGTCATTCTCTGGACAGGTTGCAGACTCACTGCTGTTTGGGTTTTTTGGAGCATTTCTTAGCAGCGGACTAAACTGACATTTTTATTTTCTGATTTTAGAGTACAAATCGTGCATTGTGCAGGTGTAGAGGAATGCTAACTATGTTATTGTAATCTATTTTAGAACCACAAACAATTGGACAAGAGAATAAAATAATAAAATGCTGGTCTCCTGGGGTAAAAAACCTTTCAAATTCTCATTATAAGAAACTTTTAAGAACCCAAGAAAAACATTATTCTTATGAAATCAGAGTCCTCACATTTATGCAAAAGACTTATCTACTGTTGACAGGTCATTTGATGCTGAAGTAAAATTATGAAAGTAAATAATTATTCTACCAAAACAAATAAAATGTATCTTAGTAACAGAGTCCTGACAGAGAACTTGGGTTTACTACAAAGAGGTGCAGATGAAGCAGCATGTGGAGCAGTCTGGTGCCCGCTGTGTGGGCCGATGTTTCAGGAGGTCACAGCTGTTGGTCACACACTGCCGACCAACCCCAACTCGCTTGAGGCCAAAACTGGGAACCAAGTGGGCAATTTATGACTCTTGAAGAGGTTGTAACACCTTAATATGCCCCTGTCTGAATACAGAGTCACGCTACATTCAAACACAGGTGGTAAAAACAGCAGGTTCATTAAACCTAATGAATGTTTCAGTATCATTCAGAAGAGTGTTTGATGTTTGACTCCCTCTACAACTTAATGGGACCTTACACCCTTTTAAAAAGGAGGGAAATAGTTAATACCTGTCATCACAACATCTTAAATCTCTGCGTTTACATGCAAAAAATCAGGTTTCTGGTTACAGCAGGAGAGTATTTGTTCACAATGCAATAACCTGCTCACTCTCAAACCTGTGCTGACCTGCAGCTACTCAGGACGGATGGCTCAGTGAGGAGAACAGGCTCTGTAATGCAAAGATTTTACTTACAGAGTTTCTTTTTACAAATAACTATTGTGGAAGCGACTTATTTAGACGTCCAGAAGCTACTCAATCTCAGATCATACAAAAAAACTGCAGCCAACAATCACCATGTCCAGAGTAAAGGAGGAAACTCTGGAGCAGCATTCAAGTTGAAATCCCTCGTGCTATCATGTAACAGTAATTGTAATCTACACAGAAATGTATTTTTGGATGCGTTTCTATCATTTTAAAGTTTCATTTTGTGTGTTTGGTTTAAAAAAAAAGGTTATCACAAGCACTATTTTTAAAAATTAAAGTTTCAGTTTTAGTCAGACTTTGAATTGAAGATCCAACTCCAACGGTTTACTTTCATCCCACCACACTGCTGCCACAGCAGCAATTACACATGTGATTCTCTGTTAGAAACCACATACACGTGTATGCAGCCAAGAAATGTGTTTTCCCTTAGCAGAACTGTAGCTGCGCTAACCAGGTTTCTCCAGCGTCAGACCCTGAATCTGACATTTAAGAGATCAGCTTACTGCAGAAAACAGTGACCTGCTTACTCAACTGCATGTAAACACGGATTTAATCTAGATAATGTAACAAATGTGATACATGAAAAATTATTTTTCTATAAACCAGTTTTTTTATGGCCTGGCAAGAGATCTCACCATTCTTGTAAATGTTTATACTTTACTCTGCCATACAGACTAAATACATCTTCACCCTGATTTATAACCTCAGCAAACGCCTGCAGGTTGCTTGAGGATCACCTTGGTTGAACCATAAAAACTTTATGTGAGGTAGCTGAGAGGATCTTTCCTATAGTTTCAATCCTCTCGTGGTATCTACTTACTGGGAGGAGACTCGGCCTGTATACATACAGTGTCAGTGTGTGTGGTCGTACAGACATACACAGATGACAGTGTTACAGACAGAGGTGCTGACCTCTCGCTGTTAAACGTCGTGTTTAGTTCTTTCACTCGGAATGAACATGAGACAAAGTGAGTTCTGTGCATGTTTCTTAATTTATGTATGTCTCAGTGTGTGAGAGCGATAAAGACCAGAAAAGAGAATTAAAACCTATTTGAGTAAAAAGACACAGTGATGGACAGAAACTGTATATTTATTCAACTTAAGGACACTTTTGAGCTGCTTGTATCTTGAGTATTTACTTTTTCTACTTTCTACTTCGACTCCACAACATTTCAGAGGCAAATACCTTTACCAGCTGTAACATTAAAGTAATAAACACACTACTGCATCAATAATCCAATAATATAACCTAATTACTTATTCTGAAATGGGCCATTCTGCATAATGACTAGAGCACTTTTACTTTAATTTAGTTGTTAATACTTTTGTACTTTTACTTAAAGAACCAGATTTAGTGGCACCTTGCTGATTGCAGCGCCCTCACCTCACCCTCGGCTTTCAAGCTGTAAGAGAAGCTACAGCGAAAGCCCCGACATTCTATTCTCATTCTAAGGGCCTTATTTTCAGGTGATCATACATGGATTAAAACATACCTGTGAATGTGTTTGTATGGTATCACCTATTCTGAATTTATATAACAAATAATATTATAATAATGAAAAACTAAACCGAAATGAGCAAATCTACTCAAGAAACTAAACTAAAATAAAAAAACTAATGAAAAATACAAAAGTATAATAACTCTGGAGTTAGATGTTTTAGAGAAAGAGAGAATCATATTCTGCACCAACATGTGACAGTACAGATACAGATACAGATACAGACAGACAGACAGATACAGATACAGATACAGATACAGACAGACAGACAGACAGACAG